GCTCGCTCACACACACTCACTCTCACATTCCTCACTCACTCACTCACACACACACACACATCGCTCGCTCACACACACTCACTCTCACACTCACTCACTCACACACACACATCGCTCGCTCACACACACTCACTCTCACACTCCTCACTCACTCACACACACATCGCTCGCTCACACACACTCACTCTCACATTCCTCACTCACACACTCACTCACTCACTCATCCACACACACATCGCTCGCGCACACACACACTCCTCACTCACTCACACATCCACATCGCTCGCTCACACACACTCACTCTCACACTCCTCACTCACACATCGCTCGCTCACACACACTCACTCTCACATTCCTCACTCACACACACACATCGCTCGCTCACACACACTCACTCTCACACTCCTCACTCACTCACACACACACACATCGCTCGCTCACACACACTCACTCTCACACTCTTCACTCACACACACACATCGCTCGCTCACACACACTCCCCACTCACTCACACACACACATTGCTCGCTCACTCACTCACTCACTCACTCACTCTCACACTCACTCACTCACACACACACATCGCTCGCGCACACACACTCACACTCCTCACTCACTCACACATCCACATCGCTCGCTCACACACACTCACTCTCACACTCCTCACTCACACATCGCTCGCTCACACACACTCACTCTCACATTCCTCACTCACACACACACACATTGCTCGCTCGCTCACTCACTCACACTCCTCACTCACTCACACACACACACACACATCGCTCGCTCACACACACTCACTCTCACACTCCTCACTCACTCACACACACACACACACACACATCGCTCGCTCACACACACTCACTCTCACACTCTTCACTCACACACACACATCGCTCGCTCACACACACTCCCCACTCACTCACACACACACATCGCTCGCTCACACACACTCACTCTCACACTCCTCACTCACTCCTCACACACAATACACACACCCTCCCTCCTTTCCTCCCTCCCTCACTCACCCACATTCACTCACTCACACACACACACAATTACACACCCTCCCTCCCTCCTTCCCTAACTCCCTCACTGCCTCCCTCCCTCCCTCACCCCATGCCTTCCTTCCCGCCCTCACTCCCCCCCTCCCTCACTCGCTCCATCCTTCCCTTACCCAACCCCTCCTCAGAGGGAGGTAAGTGAGGTCTCCTCGGAGCCGAACTGGCTCCAGGGTGACATGTTTGGCAACGGGATGTCAGATCGAGACCCCCCTCTGTGCCGGTCTCCAGTCCGGGTCCTGACCAGGAGGGGCCGCAGTGTCCCGGGGCACTCACTGCTGTTAGCAGCACAGCCCGGCCCGGCTCATCAGCAGGACCTGGAAGGGCCGACCAGTCACTGGGGGCCGGGAATCCTCCCCCTCAGCTCCTGGTAACCCCACAGCCAAAGCCCTAACTAACGGGGAGGGGGGTCCTCGCTGGACAAGCAGCGGGAAAGCTGCCGGACAGTGGTCTCAATGGCCGAGCGGTGTGGGTTTAACCGGTTACACTCCAGCCGTTACCCCAATGCACACTCTGGGGTCCCCCCAAACCTTGGTCTCGCCAACCTGCGCCTAATACTCTCCGGAATTAGGTAAGCCAGGGAGAGAGAGAGAGAGAGAGAGAGAGAGAGCGCATTCCATTCCAACAATCTTATCTCTGGGATTTCCATGTGTAGATGGGATGGAATTCTCTGTTTGGTTCGGAGGCTCTTAAGCACAGCGATGGGTTTCTGCGCGTGTCAGACCCCCGGCTGCCAAAACCAAACAGGAGACCAGTCTGTGCCCTGTTCAGGCGGACGTTAAAGATCCCGCAGCGCTGTCGGAAAAAGAGAAGGGAGTTTCTCTCTCTCTCTCTCTCTCTCTCTCCCGGTGTCCTGGCCGACAATTCCCAGATACAGTCACTGATTCACCTCCCGGCTGTTTGCGGGGATGTTGCTGTGCACAGATTGGCTGCCGCGTTGGCTACGAGGCTCACGACGACAACAACTTGCACACATATAGCGCCTTCCACACAGGGCAGCGTCCCCGAGAGCTTTCCCACAGTCACTACATATCACAGCAAATCCTGTGCTGCACCTCGAGACGTTTTGATGTGACAGGCACTGGATCACGTGGTGGGGTTCGAGCCCTCGCCTCGCTCGCGAGAGGACCCGGGTTTGCTTCCCGGCAGAACAAAATGTTGGGCAAGTTTCCTGACTCCGCACCGCTCGGTTCACTGAGCAGTTGTTAGTCGATTGGCGGATCTCATTCCCGGGTGTAATAATCCCTTAAAAAAAATAATAATTTGGTCACAAGTAAAATAAATAATAATAATAAATGGGCCACTCAATCCACGACTGTGTGTGGGACGCAGCTGTGTGCAATCGGCTGCTGCATTTCGCCCGCAAAATATACAATTAATTCACTTTACAGCGTATTCCGTGAAGCGCTTTGAGACGTCTCGAAGACCGACCCGATCGGGCGCTGCGTCAAATACACGGATTATTAAGGATTATTATTATTGTTAAACCAGACTGGAGAGATTGATAAAAGGGCTGAACAGCGAGCGAGAGCCACTCTCTGTTCTCGTCAATCTCAAGTGTCAATCTGACAGCAAAGTTGCATTAAAGTCACACAAAGACATTCCACCTCGCGCTCCCCCCCCCCCCCCCCAACCCCCAACCCCCCTCCCCGGGGACAGAGAGCAGAAATAGCCCATCGCCGGCTCAGCCCTATTTAGGCTGTTTCTCGCAGTCGACACCTGGCATTTGTCCTGGGAAAGACACTGAGATTGACGAGGACAGAGGGTGGCTGTTATCTCCCTCCCCCCCCCATCCCCGTCAGTGACCTTTCCTGTCACACTTACTGCTGGAGACATCACCTCCCCTCACAGCCCCCCACCGCCCCCTCTCCCCTTATCCTCACCGGCTACACAAACACACATGGATGTTCTGCCGGTGCTTATCCTCAACCTGCACGTGTCTGGGTCTGCGTCACCGTATGTGTGTCCTCGACTTCAAAGCTCTCCACAGCTTCGCTCCTTCTACCTCTCTGACCTGCTGACTCCATACCAACCTGCCCGCTCCCTCCGCTCAGGGGGCTCCGGCCCGCTCCACGTCCCCGCCAACCCTGCGTGCCCCCTCCCTCCCTCCGTCCCTGAATCCACCCCCCAGCTCAGGCGCAAACTCTCAACCGTCCAGCAGCTCGGGACGTCCTCCCGACGTGAGAGCCACCGCGTAAATGTGGTTTCTTATTGCCGCTGGAAAGCTTTCCAGACGGCGCCATCAATGGCAATTTCCACGGCTTTATCTGCTTAGACTCCAGTTACCCCAACGCACACTCCGGGCTCCGCAAACCTCTCTTAGGATTGGGTTAAGTGTCGCATTCCATTCCAGCCGCGTGTTGATATGAATGTGGAATCTGTCCGTCTGGTGTTGAGACTCTTAAATCACAGCGGTGCGTTTCCAACTCTGGGAGTGGGGCATTCTATACATAGATATATTACCCCCCGCCAAAAAAAAACCTGGATTAACATTGAATCATGGAATTTTACAGCACAGAAGGAGGCCATTCAGCCCATCGTGCCTGTGCCGGCTCTTTGAAAGAGCCACCAACTAGTCCCACTCCCCCGCTCTTACCCCAGAGCCCCGCACAGTTTTTCTTTTTGAATACCTATCCAATTCCCTTTTGAAAGCTTTTACCGAATCTGCATTCCAGACCGTGACAACTCTTTGGGTAAAACAATTTCTCCGCTGATTGTTTGCCAATTAAATCTTAAGTTATCCCAAGCGAGAGGGCCTGGGTTTGATTCCCTGGTGGGGCAAAACCTTAAGCAAGTTTCCTTACTCCACACGGCTCCGTTTACTTCGCAGTAAGTAGTAACAGTCAGGAACCCGGTGGTTAGTCAATTGACGGATCGTGTTACTAGGGGTAATAATCCCTTTTTAAAATAAGTGGTCGCTCAATCCTACGACTGTTTGTGGACACTACTGTACAAAATTCGCTACCGCATTTCACCCACAAAATACACTCTGGAACTCCATCCCACGGTCCCTTGGCCTCGCTTCCTCCCTCGCCTCCTTCAAGGCCGGTCTCAAGACCCTCCTCTTCGATCGTGCCTTCAGTCGCCCTCCCACCTCTCTGCCTTCCCTCACCCCTACACCACCCCTCCACCATGTTTGGGCCCCGACCCGACTGTCCAGTGCCTTGGGATGTCCTCCCAACGTGAAAGGCGCTCTATCAATGTAATTTTGTTGTTGTTGTTGTTGGCAGTCAATTTACTTGACAGTATATTCTGTGAACTGCTTTGAGACGTCTTGAAGACATGATAAGGCGTCATATCAAAAATGATTATTATTATTATTAATATTATTATACACACAGATTGGGACGCAGACTCATGACTGTCCTGTACAAATGCAGCATTTACTTCAGTTACAGAATTCACATTTGACTTTTAAACAGTTTATAAAGTTCCTGGTCCCTCATCACAGACACGTCCCACAGACAGAGCCGGGGGGGGGGGGGGGGGGGATGGGGGAACTGTGGCTGTGTCCACACAAACATATATATATATATATACATACACACACACACACAGCCTCACAATCCCCCCCCAACTCACACACACACACTCCCTACAATACAGTGTTAGTTGGTGATGAGAGGGTCGCTGCCCACAACCCACCCCCAGTCACACGCGCTCCACACACACACACACATCTCCCCCCCACCCCCCACACACATACACACAACGCAGCCTCCCACCACAGAGCCCCCCCCCTACATACAGCCCCCCCCGTACACACACATCCCTACTCAATATGCGCATACCTACATACACCCCTACACAGCCCCCCGCCACACAAACACATATATACATACATAGCAGCCCCCACTTTCAGCCTCGTGCGCTCTCCCTCCCCCCCACCCGGCTCCCCCCCCCTCCCCATACATGGATACATACATACACGCAGCCTCACCCCTTCCCCCCGCGGTCAGATGGTGAGGAGTGGGATTTCCCCGGGGAGGGGGGGGTGGCCGGGGTCAGATGGTGAGGAGGGGGATGCAGCCCACGCCCACCCCCCCCTCGTGGCAGACCATGGGGGCCATGAAGCTCCAGCGGTTGGATTCGGAGTCGTACATCTCCACGGAGCTGAGGTTGGACTGACCATCGTAGCCGCCGATGGCGTACAGACGACCACAGTTGGGGACGAGGGAGACTCGGCTGCGCCGGGTGCTCATGGTGGTGATCAGACTCCACTGGTCGCTGGCGGAGCTGTACACCTCGGCGGCGCTGAGGAACCCCGAGCCGTCATAGCCACCGCACACGTACATCTGGCTGCCCAGGGCCGCTGCCCCGTGCCGACACCGCTTGTTAAACATACTGCTCACAGGGTACCAGGCGGCAGTGTGCTGGTTATAGTACTCCACCTAGAGAGGGGGAGAGAGAGAGAGAGGGAGGGAGGGAGGGAGGGAGGGAGAGTGTGAGAGCGTGAGAGGGAGAGTGTGAGAGCGAGAGAGGGAGAGTGTGAGAGAGAGAGAGGGAGAGTGTGAGAGAAAGAGAGAGTGAGAGAGTGTGAGGGAGTGAGAGAGTGTGTGAGAAAGAGAGAGTGTGACAGAGAGTGTGTGAGAGAGAGTGAGAGAGAGAGTGTGAGGGAGTGAGAGAGAGTGAGAGGGAGTGTGAGGGAGTGAGGGAGTGAGAAAGTGTGCGAGAAAGAGAGTGTGAGAGTGTGTGTGAGAAAGAGAGAGTGTGAGGGAGTGAGAGTGTGTGAGAAAAAGAGAGTGTGAGAGAGAGTGAGAAAGAGAGTGTGAGAAAGAGAGTGTGAGAGAGAGTGTGTGAGAGAGTGTGAGAGAGAGAGTGTGAGAGAGTCAGAGAGAGTGTGAGTGAGTGAGAGAGTGTGAGAGAGAGAGTGTGAGAGAGAGAGTGTGAGAGAGTGAGAGAGAGTGTGAGAGAGAGTGAGAGAGAGTGTGAGGGAGTGAGAGAGTGTGAGAGAGAGAGTGTGAGAGAGAGTGTGAGAGAGAGTGTGAGAGAGAGAGTGAGAGAGAGTGTGAGAGAAAGAGAGTGAGAGTGTGTGAGAAAGAGAGAGAGAGTGAGAGTTATAGGCTCTGCCCGGAGAGAGAGTCGCGGAGAGTTGAGGAATGATTGAGTTCTTGGTGTAGTGCAGTGCGGTGCAGTGCGTGTCAGGGCTCCCCCTCGGTGGCCAGTGGAGCGTCAGTCTCCGCTCAGTGAGAGCAGCCCTGGTTACCTGCCGTCTCTTTACCATCTGCTGGTCACTGGCGGGAGCTGGAGAGCTCGGCGGCCATCCGTTGAGGGGGGTGGGGGGTGAAAAGCTCAGGCTCAGGGTGAGGGGGGTGGACTCACCGTGTTGAAGATCTGCAGCCCGTCGTGCCCCCCCGACACGTAGATGCGGCCCTCGAACACAGAGACCCCGGACGCACTGCGACACGCACTCATAGGGGTGACCTCAGCCCACCTGGCGGGGAGAGAGAGAACGAGCACAGGTCAGAGAGCAGCACAGCACAGCCCACAGCACAGCCCACAGCACAGCCCACCCCAGCACAGCCCACAGCACAGCACAGCCCACAGCACAGCCCACAGCACAGCCCACAGCACAGCCCACAGCACAGCCCACAGCACAGCCCACAGCACAGCCCACAGCACAGCGCAGCCCACAGCACAGCACAGCCCACAGCACAGCACAGCCACACAGCCCACAGCACAGCCCACAGCACAGCCCACAGCACAGCCCACAGCACAGCCCACAGCACAGCCAACAGCACAGCCCACAGCACAGCCCACAGCACAGCCCACAGCACAGCACAGCCCACAGCACAGCACAGCCCACAGCTCAGCCCACAGCACAGCCCACAGCACAGCCCACAGCACAGCCCACAGCACAGCCCACAGCACAGCCCACAGCACAGCCCACAGCACAGCACAGCCCACGACAGGGTGATATGTGTTTTGCTGTGTGTGTGTGTGTGTGTGTTGTATGTGTGTATGTGTGCTGTGTGTGTATGTGTGTGTGTGCTCTGTGTGTGTGTGTGCTGTGTGTGTGTGCTGTGTGTGCTATGTGTGTGTGTTGTGTGTGTCTGTGTGTGTGTGCTGTGGGTGTGTTCTGTGTGTGTGTGTACTGTGGTGTGTGTGCTGTGTGTGTGCTGTGTGTGTGCTGTGTGTGTGTGCTGTGTGTGTGTACTGTGTGTGTGTGTGTGTGTGTGTGCTGTGTGTGTGTGTGTGTGTGCTGTGTGTGTGTCTGTGTGTGTGTGTGTGTGTGTGCTGTGTGTGTGTGCTGTGTGTGTGTGCTGTGTGTGTGTGTGTGTGGTGCTGTGTGTGTGTGTGCTGTGTGTGTGTGTGTGTGTGTGTGTGTGTGTGTGTGTGTGTGCTGTGTGTGTGTGTGCTGTGTGTGTGTGTGTGTGTGTGTGCTGTGTGTGTGTGCTGTGTGTGTGTGTGTGTGTGTGTGTGTGTGTGTGTGTGTGTGTGTGTGCTGTGTGTGTGTGTTGTGTGTGTGTGTGTCTGTGTGTGTGTGTGTGTGCTGTGTGCTGTGTGTGCTGTGTGTGTGTGTGTACTGTGTGCTGTGTGTGTGTGTGTGTGGTGTGTGTGCTGTGTGTGTGTGTGTACCCTGATCTCCCTGGTCCTCCCCAGGCTCCACTGACTTCCATTCACCGAACGGATCGATTTCAAGACCTTGTCACTCGTTTTCAAATCCCTTGGTGCCCTGACACCCCCCCACCTCTCCGACCTGCTCACCCCCCACTCCCCCGCTACCCGCTGCCTCCGCTCGGCTGGCCCCGGCCTCCTGGTTGTCCCTTGAGCCCTCCTTATCATCATAAGTAGCCGTGCCTTCAGCCACCACGCCCCGAAACTCTGGGACTCTCTCCCTCAATCCCTCTGCCTTGCCCCCTCCCTCCCCACCTTCAAATCTAGTCTGGATCTAGTCCTGGGGAATGAAATAGGTCGGGTTGAACAGGTTTCGGTAGGGGAGCATCGAGGTAACAGTGACCATAATATTATTAGATTTAGATCACTCATGAACAGGGACAAAGTACAGTCGAGGGTGAAAATGCTTGACTGGAAAAGGGCTAATTTTGATGGGCTAAAGAGGGACCCAGAGTTGGTGGACTGGCAAGTGAGAATGGCAGGTAACACGACCCATGAGCAATGGGAGATCTTCAAAGATACGATAGCTCAGGGTCTAAATAGATATATTCCCACAAAAGGGAAATGTGCGAGAACCAAGCCCGGCCTGGATGGCCAGGGATATTCGGTCGAGGATGAAAAAGAAGACGGCGCACGACAATTGGAAGACGCAAGACACTGAGGATAGCAAAGCGCATTATAGAGAATGCAGGAGTGAGCTTAAAAGAGTGATAAGACAGGCTAAAAGATCGCATGAGAAGAGGTTAGCGGGTAACATAAAGGGGAATCCTAAAATATTTTATAAGCACATAAAGGAAAAAAGGTTAGTTAAAGGTAGGGTGGGGCCAATCAAAGACAATGACGGCCATCTTGTTGTGGAGGCAGAGGCCGTGGCTGATGTACTGAACGAGTACTTTGCATCTGTCTTCACAACGGAAACGGATGCCCCAAATGCCGCAGTATTGGATGAGAGAGGAGAGGAAATAGATCAGATTACTATAGACAGAGAGGAAGTTCTGAAAAGATTGACTGGGCTCAAAATTGATAAGTCACCAGGACCAGATGGGTTTCACCCAAGGTGCTGTGGGAGATACGGGTTCAAATAGCGGAGGCTTTGGCCATTATATTTCAATCGTCATTGGACACAGGAGTGGTGCCAAGAGACTGGAGAGTGTTACCCCACTCTACAAAAAGGGGCAGAAAGACAAACCCGGAAATTACAGGCCAGTCAGCCTAACCTCGGTAATAGGAAAACTACTGGAGACCATAATCCGGGACAGAATAAATCTCTACTTAGAGGAACACGAGGTAATTAGAGACCCCCAACATGGATTTGTTAAAGGCAAATCTTGCCTAACAAATCTAATAGAATTTTTTGAAGAGGTGACTGCGAGGGTTGATGAGGGAAATGCGGTGGACGTTATTTACATGGATTTCAAAAAGGCTTTTGACACAGTACCGCATAAGAGATTAATAAAAAAAATTAGAGGCCCACAGTATTAAGGGGACAGTGGCAGTTTGGATTAAGAACTGTCTGAGTGACAGAAAGCAGAGGGTGGTGGTTAATGGGTGTTTCTCGAAATGGAAGGAGGTTTGCAGTGGTGTCCCCCAGGGATCAGTATTGGGACCACTGCTCTTTCTAATATATATTAAAGATCTGGACTTGGGCACAGAGAGCACTATTTCCAAGTTTGCAGATGATACAAAGTTAGGTCGGGTAGTAAATAGTGAGGAGGACTGTAACCAACTGCAGGCAGACATACACAGAATGGTGGAATGGGCTGACATGTGGCAGATGGATTTCAATGTGGATAAGTGTGAGGTGATACACTTAGGGAGGAAAAATGATAGGAGGCAATATAGACTTGGAGCTCAATCTTAAGGGGGTGAACGTACAGAGAGATCTGGGTGTTCAAGTAAGCGAATCATTAAAGGTAGCGGGGCAGTAAAAAGGGCATTTGGTGTACTGAGCTTTATTAGTAGGGCATAGAGTATAAGAGTAGGAGTCGTGGAGTCCTGTAGCTCAGTGGTTAGAGCACTCGCTTTGCAAGTGAGAGACCTGAGTTCAATTCCAGGCAGAGGGCGAAACCTTGGGCAAGTTTCCTTACTCCACACAGAGCCTAATAATAATCCTCCAAAACCCAAAACAATAATAAATTGGTCATTTTCAATCTACGACTGTTTGTGGGACATTGCTGTGCGCCATTGGCTGCCGCGTTCACCCACAAATATACAGTCAATTCACTTTACAGTGTGTTCTGTGAAGCGCTTTGGGACGTCCTTCCGACATGAAAAGCGCTATATCAAATGCAAGGATTATTATTAATAAGAGTAGGGGTTATGGTTACTCTGTACAAAACACTGGTTAGGCCTCAGTTGGAGTACTGTGTCCAGTTCTGGGCACCTTACGTCAGGAAGGACATTAAGGCACTGGAAAGGGTGCAGAGAAGATTCACGAGAATGATACCAGGAATGGGGAACCTTAGCTATGAGGACAGTGGAGAAGTTAGGACTTTTCCCATTAGAGCAGAGAAGGTTACGCGGAGACCTGATAGAGGTCTTCAAGATCATGAAAGGTTTCGACAGGCGAGATAAGGGAAAGCTGTTTCCGCTGGTAGGTGTGTCTGTGACCCGCGGTCACAGTCTTAAGATATCTACCAAAAGAAGCAGAGGGGAGGTTAGAAGAAATGTTTTCACTCAGCGAGTTGTTGGGATTTGGAATGATCCGCCCGAAAGGGCAGTGAAGTCCGATTCGATAACAGCTTTTAAGAGAGAATTGGACAGGTATCGGGGAAGACGGGTTTGCACGGTTATGGGGAGAAAGCTGGTGATTGGGGTTAGTGAAAGTGACGCTCTGTCAAAGAGCCGCACAGACTCGATGGGCCGAATGGCCTCCTTCAGTGCCGTAACATTCTAAAGAAAAATCCCGCTTAAAGACTTTCTCTTTTGATCGTGTGTCATGCTAACCGGTGCTCCCTCTTCCCCGGCTCAGGGTCAGACTCCGCCACTGTCAAACCCTGCAGGTCGTTGTGTAAATGCAACTTGTTGTTGTTTTGGGGGTTGAGGACCACTTACTTGTCGGCTTCTGGTGAGTAACATTCCACTGAGCTCAGGGAGCAGATTCCATCGTAGCCACCGCACACGTAGATGTGTCCATCCATCACCGCCGTCCCCATAGCACTGAGGGCGCAGACACACACACACACACACACAGTCAGCCAGAGCTCAGCTGCCCCCACACTACCCCCATCCCCACCCCAACCTCCCCCGCCCCATCCCAACCGCCCCCGCCCCATCCCAACCCCCCCGCCCCCATCCCAACCTTCCCCGCCTCCATCCCAACCACCCCATCCAATCCCCCCCGCCCCATCCCAACCACCCCCGCCCCCTCCCAACCTCCCCCGCCTCCATCCCAACCACCCCCGCCCCCTCCCAACCCCCCCGCCTCCATCCCAACCGCCCCATCCCAATCCCCCCGCCCCCATCCCAACCTCCACCGCCCCATCCCAACACTCCCGTCCCCATCCCAACACTCCTGTCCCCATCCCAACCCCCCCCCGCCCCCATCCCAACCTCCCCCGCCCCCCTCCCAACACTCCCGCCCCCATCCCAACCTCCCCCGCCCCCCTACCAACCCCCCCGCCCCCATCCCAACCTGCCCAGGGCGAGAGTGGGGGAGATGGGGTCACGGAGTTTGGTGCGGGAGAGGACACGGGCGGCAGAGTTCCTGATTATCTGCAGCTGTGGAGGGAGGAGTTGGGAAGGCGTTTGCACAGTCGAGGCCGGAGGTGATGAAGGCGTGAACAAGAGTTTCAGCGCCTGAGGGGTGAGGCAGTGGCGGAGTCGGGCGACGTTACGGAGGTGAGGGAAGGCAGAGCGGGTCATGGCTTGAATGTGGGGGAGAAAAGACAGTTGAGGGTCTGACACGACCCCCCGGTTCCTGAGTGGCGGTGAGTTGGTGAGTTGGGGTGCGTACCCCGAGGCGGGTGATGCTGCCGGAGCCTGAGGTGCGGAGGCGCTGGTGTGAGCCGATCGGGAGGGCCTCAGTCTCGGGCAGATTCCACTGTAGGAAGTTTGCCCTCATCCCGGACGTGACCCCGGACCCTCCCAATGGCAGTGAGGAGACCCCCCACTCGGGCAGAGCGCGGCCCCGCCCTCCCGCCCCTGTACCTGCGCCGCGTGGCCATACTCGCCACTCTGGTCCACGATTCGCTCTCAGGGTTGTACACCTCCACTGTGCTGAGCCGGGATTGGCCGTCAAACCCACCAATGGCGTACAGGAGCCCGTTGACCATGGCCACACCCACTCGGCTGCGCTGACTCCCCATTGGTTGGCAGCGCTCCCACCGGTTAGCGATTGGGTCAAACACCTCAACAACATTCAGAGAATCACCTGTAACCGCAGCGACAGGTCCGGGTCAGAGCCACAGTAACACACAGTCACTACACTGTGTGTCCGTCCACACTCCCAGGTCAGGGTTAGAGCCACAGTAACACACAGTCACTACACTGTGTGTCCGTCCACACTCCCAGGTCAGGGTTAGAGACACAGTAACACACAGTCACTACACTGTGCGTCCGTCCACACTCCCAGGTCAGGGTTAGAGACACAGTAACACACAGTCACTACACTGTGCGTCCACACTCCCAGGTCAGAGTTAGAGCCACAGTCACTACACTGTGCGTCCACACTCCCAGGTCAGGGTTAGAGCCACAGTCACTACACTGTGCGTCCACACTCCCAGGGCAGCCTCAGGTTGGTTTGGGTGCTGTGCTGGTGAGAGCTGAGCCGTGTAACGTGTGCCGATGACATGGGTTTCTTTAAGACTCATTCGCTGCGCTCAGGGGTGACATTGTGTAGATTAATCCACACAGAATGAATTGCCGTCAACATCTCCATTATTGAAGCGTACGACGACCAGGATCTGGTCTCAGTGGTGAGAGCCCTCGCCTCGCGAGCGAGCGAGCGAGAGGACCCGGGTTCGATTCCCCGCAGGGCGAAACATTGTACACGTGTCCTCACGCCACACGCCGCTGTACACCGGCAGTAAATGGGAACCCGCGTGTTAGTCGAGTGGCGAATCGCTTTTCTGGGGGTAATAATTCCTTACAAAATAAATAAAAATGTGGTGACTCAACCCACGACTGTTTGAGGGCCGCGGCTGTGTTAAGCGCTGTATCGCACACAGGGATTATTATGGAAGGTGAACGAGATGGACCTTTGGTCTATTTTCCCCGAGCAATTCCTACATTGGGAAATGTCCGTGACAAGGGCCAGAGCCAGACCACAGCGGCCCCGCCCGCACACTGACCGGCAGCCCCGCCCACACACTGACCAGTGGCCCCGCCCACACACTGACCGGCGGCCCCGCCCACACACTGACCGGCGGCCCCGCCCACACACTGACCAGTGGCCCCGCCCACACACTGACCGGCAGCCCCGCCCGCACACTGACCGGCGGCCCCGCCCACACACCAACCGGCAGCCCCGCCCGCACACCGGCCGGCGGCCCCGCCCACACACTGACCGGCAGCCCCGCCCACACACTGACCGGCGGCCCCGCCCGCACACTGACCGGCAGAGTTGAGGCCACCCACAGCGTAGATGAGGCCAGCGATGGAGGTGCAGCACCGCGGTCGGGTCTTGAACGAGGGAAGGTGTGGCCGGCGCTCGGGCATCAGGTGGTAATCCTTCGCCTCGTCCACAAGGTCCCTGTGACACACAGCGGTCAGCGGGGGGGGGGGGTCCGAACCAATCTGCCGTCCAAGATCCTGGTCCTCACCTTCAAAGCCCTCCATGGTCTTGCTCCCCCCACCTCTCCGAACTCCTAACCCCCTCCCATCCTCCTGCTCACTCCCTCCTGCTTCACACCCACACCTCGCTCGCCCCACTATCGGCAGGTGGGTCTTCTGCCACTCTGCCCCCACCCTCTGGAACTCCATCCCGCAGTGCCTCCGTCTCGCCCCCTCCTTCGCCCCCTTCTTTGCCACCTCAAGACCCTCCTCTTCGACGGTGCTTTCAATCTCCCTGCTTTCCCCCCCCCACTGCCCTCCACCCTCCTCCACCCCGACCCTCAGCTCGGGTCCGTACCTCTGTCTGTCCAGCTCTTTGGGACGTCCTCCCGACGTGAAAGGCGCTTTGCAAATGTAATGTTGTTGTTGTTGCCACGCGATACGTTAAATGTTAAGGATTATGATCATTATTTCCCACTCACTGACCGGCACTTGTGACAGGAGCGGACCAGCTCGTCCTGCTGAACCCGGTCGGTCAGGAACTGTGGCCGGCACAGCGGCAGCCTCACCCGCCTCAACAGCTCCGGCAACAACTCCTCACGGCAATCCTGAGCGTAACGCACCCAGGCCAACACTGCCTCAAACACCTGGGGGGGGGGGGAGAGGTTGGGGAGAGAGAGGGGTGGGGAGAGGGGGAAGGAGAGAGAAGGCAGGGGAGGGAAAGAGCAGAGAGACAGCAAGTGAGAGAGACCCACACACAAGGGGGGACGTTAGTGGGTACACGGCAAGAGATGAGCCATAACTACTCTCATTCTCCCCGACACCGCCATCTCTCTCACACCTTCTCTCCTTCGGGCGCAAACACTCCCACATACCCATCTCTCTCACTCTCTCTCCCCTCCCTCTCACCTCTCGCTCTTTCCCCCTCTCGCACACACACACTCTCTCCCGCGTCTCTCTCCCCCACACACACACTCTCTCCCGCGTCTCTCTCCCCCCCACACACACTCTCCCTCACTTTGTCTCTCCCCCACCCCCCCCCCCACCCACACACTCTCCTGCCTCGGGTGGGTACCTGCTCCTCAGACCTGACGTTGAGCTCCTCACGGCCCAGCAGCTCGCTCAGCTCCTCCGCTGGCAGCGACAGGAACTCCTCTGAGGTGGAAACCTCCACAAAGTGCTGGTGAACAAAGCTGTTCGCTGCGTCGTACAGAACCGTACACATCATGGTCTCCGCAAACTGCCGCACCCCCAGGCAGTTCTTGGGGTGTAACCTGGGGGGGGGGGAGCAAGGGCACGTATAATTAGTGTCCAACAACACACGTACACTGTCACCCCGCAGAGACATCTCAAATGCTTCATCACTTACACTTACACGGCGCCTTTCACGTCAGGAGGACGTCCCAAGGCGCTGGACAGTCAGGGATTTGGATCCGAGATAGGAGTTGGGATCAGGAGGGGTGGAGGGCGGGGAGGGTGGGGATAGGAGGGTGACCGCGGACTGAAGCGAGAGGGTGAGGCAAAGGGACTGTGGGATGGAGTTCCAGAGGGTGGGGGCAGAGAGGCTGAAGGCCTGACCGTTGATGGTGGGGTGGGGTGGGCCGGGCGGGGGATGTGGAGCAGACTGGGGGGAGGGAACGGACGGGCTGAATTGGGGTCAACAGGTTGATGCACGGAGCGCACAGACACCGCGCTCTCCTTTACCCCTCACCTCTCGCGAAGGAAAGTGCAACAGGCGTCCTTCACGTTCTGAAGCTGCAGGAAGCTGGCTCCGATCAACAGGGCCTGCACATTCCCCTGGTCTATGGCAAGGCGGCCATTGTAGGCAAAGTTTATCAGGGCCTCGAGGGCACTGCATGGGGGAGAGAACTGTATATAACATCCCATCGCACACAACGATAATAATCCTTGCATTTGATATAGCTCCCTATCATGTCCTTGAGCCGTCTCAAAGCGCTTCACAGAATATACTGAAAAGTGTAGTGGCTATATTTTGTGAGAGAAACGCGGCAGCTTAATTGCGCACAGCAGCAGCGTCCCACACACAGTCGTGGATCGAGTGACCAAATCATTATTATTTTTTTGGAGGGATTATTACCCCCGGAAATGTGATCCACCATTCGACTAACAACCAGGTTCCTACTCACTGCTGCTGAACAGAGGTGTGTGGAGTAAGGAAACTTGGCCAACGTTTCGCCCTGCCCGGGAATCGAACCCAGGTCCTATCGCTTGCGAGGCGAGTGCTCTAACCCCTAAGCTACAGCCACATGGTGCCACGTCACACTGGGGGTGGAGGAACTGTTTATATAATAATAATGATAATCTTTGCACTTGGTATAGCGCCTCCTCAAGTCAGAAATAAGTGACCAATGGGAGATTGTTGGCCAAGACACCGGGAATAGTGCCACGGGATCCTTAACATCCACCTGAGCAGGCAGACGGAACCTCGGTTTAAGGTCTCATCCCAAGGACGTCACCTCCAACAATGCGACCCCCCCCCACCACCCACAGCGCTGCATTGGAGTGTCAGCTTAGACTCAGAGACGAGAGCGACATCACTGAGCCAGACTGCCGTTCATGTGGGAGTAGTGTCTCAGAGGGCTTAATAGTGACATGGTGGGTACATACTGATATAATGGAGTGTAGTGGAGAGGATTTACTATAAAATGCAATGACTTGTGCCAGAGGTGGGTGGGTGGAGAGCGGGGGGGGGGGTTTGGGGATGTCGGGTGCTGTACCTGGGGTCCATGCCCTGCATGACGATCTCGTCCTGTTTACACTCCATCATGTCGTTGGTGAACATGGCATGGAAGTAGGGGATGGAGGCGGCCAGCACAATGCGGTGAGCACTGTACTTGTGCTCCCCGACCTGCAGCCAAACACAGGGATAAACACAGTCCCCGCCACCAACACCCACCCCCGCCCCACCCCACCCCACCACACACACACACACACATAACCTGCGAGGTACAGCACGCGGGGAAGGTTTAAAGTGATGCTCGGCTCCCAGGCCTCCACAACAGATGGTATGAATGGTAAGAGGTTGACCTCGTGTGTAGTGCTGATGGTAACAGGTGGATGTAACAGCAAAGGGGAGGTGACCAGACGGGCCGGAAGGTTTAATAACAAGTTTAATATGTTGGGAGTGGGGGGGGGGGTGGGGGTCACTGGAGCTGAGAGGGTTAATAATAATCCTCGCATTTGATACAGCGCCTTATCACGTCTTCGAGACGTCTCAAAGCGCTTCACAGGATATACTGTAAAGCGTAGTGACTGTGTACTGCCCCGATAATACGACTCAAAAACTCTCCTTTTCGACCATGCTTTCAGCTGCCTTCCTCTTCCCTCTGACCTCCCTCAGCCCAGCCCTGCCCTCCCCCACGCTCGGGTCCTAATCCCTGACTGTTCAGCGCCTTGGGATGTCCTCCCGATGTGAAAGGCGCTTTACAAATGTTGTTGTTGTTGATAACACAATACAAAATTACATTTACATGGGGCTCCACGGCCTCGCTCCTCCCTACCTCTATGATCTCCTGGCCCCCTACCAACCCGTCCGCTCCCTCCGCTCGGGGGGCTCTGGCCTGCTTCGAGGCCCCTGCCTCGCCCACTTCACCATAGGCAGTCAGGCCCTCAGGCTCTCTGCCCCCACATTCTGGAAACCCATCCCACAGGCCCTTCCCTTGCTCCCTCGCTTGGCTCCTTTAAGACTCATCTCAAGACCCTCCTCTTCTCCCATGCGTTCAGCTACCTTCTGCTCCTCCTCTCCAAGCTCTCCACCACCATTGATCCAAAACCTCAGCTTTGGTGTAGATGCCTGACTGTCCAGTGCCTTGGGACGTCCTCCCGACGTATTGTATTGTTGATGTTGATATCGGGATATTATCGGGGTATATCAGGGTATACATCGGGGGTATATCAGGGAATATATCGGGGTATATCAGGGTATATATCGGGGGTATATCAGGGGGGTATATCAAGGTATACATCGGGGGTATATCAGGGTATATATCGGGGTATATCAGGGTATATGTCGGGGGTATATCAGGGTATATATCGGGGGTATATCAAGGTATACATCGGGGGTATATCAGGGTATATATCGGGGTATATCAGGGTATATATCAGGGTATATCAGGGTATATACCGGGGGTATATCAGGGTCTATATCAGGATATATATTGGGGGTATATCAGGGTATATATCAGGGTATATATCAGGATATATATTGGGGGTATATCAGTATATATATCGGGGGGTATATCAGGGTATATATCGGGGGGGTATATTTCGGGGGTATATATCGGGATGTATATCAGGGTATCTATTGGGAGTATATTAGGGTATACATCGGGGTACATCAGGGTGTATATGGGGGTATATCAGGGTATATATGGGGGTATATCAGGGTATATACGGGGGGTATATCAGGGTATATATGGGGGTATATCAGGGTATATATGGGGGTATATCAGGGTATATACGGGGGGTATATCAGGGTATATACGGGGGGTATATCAGGGTATATATGGGGGTATATCAGGGTATATATGGGGGTATATCAGGTATATACGGGGGGATATCAGGGTATATACGGGGGGTATATCAGGGTATATATGGGGGTATATCAGGGTATATATGGGGGTATATCAGGGTATATACGGGGGGCATATCAGGGTATATACGGGGGGTATATCAGGGTATATATGGGGGTATATCAGGGTATATATGGGGGTATATCAGGGTATATACGGGGGGTATATCAGGGTATATACGGGGGGTATATCAGGGTATATATGGGGTTATATCAGGGTATATGTGGGGGTATATCAGGGTATATACGGGGGGTATATCAGGGTATATATGGGGGTATATCAGGGTATATATGGGGGTATATCAGGGTATATATGGGGTATATCAGGGTATATATGGGGGTATATCAGGGTATATATGGGGGTATATCAGGGTATATATGGGGGTATATCAGGGTATATATGGGGGTATATCAGGGTATATATGGGGGTATATCAGGGTATATGTGGGGGTATATCAGGGTATATGTAGGGGTATATCAGGGTATATATGGGGGTATATCAGGGTATATATGGGGGTATATCAGGGTATATATGGGGGTATATCAGGGTATATATGGGGGTATATCAGGGTATATATGGGGGTATATCAGGGTATATATGGGGTATATCAGGGTATATATGGGGGTATATCAGGGTATATATGGGGGTATATCAGGGTATATGTGGGGGTATAGGGTATATGTAGGGGTATATCAGGGTATATATGGGGGTATATCAGGGTATATATGGGGTATATCAGGTTATATGGGGGTATATCAGGGTATATATGGGGGTATATCAGGGTATATGTGGGGGTATATCAGGGATATGTGGGGGTATATCAGGGTATATGTGGGGGTATATCAGGGTATATATGGGGGGTATATCAGGGTATATGTGGGGGTATATCAGGGTATATATGGGGGGTATATCAGGGTATATATGGGGGTATATCAGGGTATAGGTGGGGGTATATCAGGGTATATGTGGGGGTATATCAGGGTATATATGGGGGTATATCAGGGTATATATGGGGGTATATCAGGGTATATGTGGGGGTATATCAGGGTATATGTAGGGGTATATCAGGGTATATATGGGGGGTATATCAGGGTATATATGGGGGTATATCAGGGTATATGTGGGGGTATATCAGGGTATATATCCGGGGTATATCAGGGTATATATGGGGGTATATCAGGGTATATTGTGGGGGTATATCAGGGTATATGTGGGGGTATATCAGGGTATATATGGGGGTATATCAGGGTATAATATGGGGGTATATCAGGGTATATGTGGGGGTATATCAGGGTATATATCGGGGGTATATCAGGGTATATATGGGGGTATATCAGGGTATATATGGGGGTATATCAGGGTATATTATGGGGGTATATCAGGGTATATATGGGGGTATATCAGGGTATATATGGGGGTATATCAGGGTATATATGGGGGTATATCAGGGTATATATGGGGGTATATCAGGGTATATATCGGGGTATATCAGGGTATATGTGGGGGTATATCAGGGTATATATCGGGGTATATCAGGGTATATGTGGGGGTATATCAGGGTATATGTGGGGGTATATCAGGGTATATATGGGGTATATCAGGGTATATATGGGGGTATATCAGGGTATATATCGGGGGTATATCAGGGTATATGTGGGGGTATATCAGGGTATATATGGGGGTAAATCAGGGTATATATGGGGGTATATCAGGGTATATATGGGGGTATATCAGGGTATATATCGGGGTATATCAGGGTATATGTGGGGGTATATCAGGGTATATATCGGGGGTATATCAGGGTATATATGGGGTATATCAGGGTATATATGGGGGTATATCAGGGTATATATGGGGGTATATCAGGGTATATATCGGGGTATATCAGGGTATATGTGGGGGTATATCAGGGTATATGTGGGGGTATATCAGGGTATATATGGGGGTATATCAGGGTATATATGGGGGTATATCAGGGTATATATGGGGGTATATCAGGGTATATATGGGGGTATATCAGGGTATATATGGGGGGTATATCAGGGTATATGTGGGGGTATATCAGGGTATATGTGGGGGGTATATCAGGGTATATATGGGGGTATATCAGGGTATATATCGGGGTATATCAGGGTATATGTGGGGGTATATCAGGGTATATATGGGGGTATATCAGGGTATATATGGGGGGTATATCAGGGTATATGTGGGGGTATATCAGGGTATATGTGGGGGGTATATCAGGGTATATGTGGGGGTATATCAGGGTATATGTGGGGGTATATCAGGGTATATGTGGGGGTATATCAGGGTATATGTGGGGGTATATCAGGGTATATATGGGGGGTATATCAGGGTATATGTGGGGGTATATCAGGGTATATGTGGGGGGTATATCAGGGTATATATGGGGGTATATCAGGGTATATGTGGGGGTATATCAGGGTATATATGGGGGTATATCAGGGTATATATGGGGGTATATCAGGGTATATATCGGGGGGCAGTTGTTACCCGGAGTGGTACCTTGAGGGTGACGTCGCAGAGGCGGCCGCGCCGCCGGATCTCCTCCATGGCGGAGTAGCCTCTCGCCGGCAGCTCAGCCACACTGAGGTACATCAGTTCCCCCTCCGCCGCCTCCTCCATCTTCCCCACAGCACGGCACTGCCACTTCCGGTCTCCCTGCGGACAACGGAACCGCACTTGCCGTACAGCCCGCCCACACCGGAACTACATCTGCCGTACAGCCCGCCCACACCGGAACTCCGTCTGCCGTACAGCGGGTCACACCGCGAGTAACACTGAGAGTAACAACACCGAGAGTAACAACACCGAGAGTAACAACACTGAGAGTAGCAACACCGCGAGTAACAACACAGAGTAACAACACCGCGAGTAACAACACTGAGAGTAACAACACCGAGAGTAACAACACTGAGAGTAACAACACCGAGAGTAACAACACTGAGAGTAACAACACCGAGAGTAACAACACCGAGAGTAACAACACCGAGAGTAATAGTCAGTAGAACAACAACAAATTACATTTATATGATAATAATCCTCGGATTTATGGTTCTATGATTGGATACAGAACCTGATCACGTCTCAAAGTGCTTGACAGGACGGTGTAGTGACTGTGTATGTGTGTGGCGATGGTGCAGTGTCCCAAACAGCTGCGGAGTAAGAGACGACATTAATATGTTTTTCTAAATTTTTTTATTTCTGAAGGGATTATTACCCCCAGAAACGAGCGGTTTCCTACTTACTGCTGCTGTGTAACCAGAGGGGAGTGGAGTGAGGAGACTCGCCCAACGATTCCCTCTGCAGCACATCCACATCGAGAGGACATTCCGGCCACACCCCACCGCTCCCTCCATACCTTCGAACCTGAAATGCTGTGCACGGTCCGACACCTTGGGACGTCCTCCCGACGTGAAAGGTGCTCTATAAATGAAATCTTCTTGTTGTTGTCCACCTGCGACCAGGACTCCCTCTGCCTCCTCGTCCTCCTTGACCTCTCTGCTGCTTTCGACACCGCCGACCGCTCTGTCCTCATCCACCGCCTCTCCTCTCACCTCAACCTTCACGGCTCTGTCCTGACTGTTCAGATGGTACCTCTCACAGCCCCTGCACTTCATCTCCTCAAACGGCTTCTCCTCCAACCCCCCCCACCCTCTCGTGCGGTGTTCCTCAGGGCTCTGTCCTTGGTCCCTCCTCTTCAATATCTATATGCTCCTCTTGGTGACACCATCCGCAGACATGGGGTCAACATCCACATGTATGACACCCAACTCTCCCTCTCTGCCTCCGCCCTCGACTCCAGGACCCACTGCTGTCCTGACACAATGTCTGTCAGACGTCAAGTCCTGGATGAGAGCGAACTTTCTTCAGTTGAAAGTCAACAAGACCGAGGCTCCTGATTGACTCCCGTCAGCGCCTCCTCACCTCAGGCCCTGACAGCATCACCATCCATGGGGCTCACTCCCCCTCACTGAGCCAGTCCCGAACCTTGGGGTCTTGTTTGACCCTCAACTATCCTTTCTACTCCACCTCTGTGCCATGATCAGAACTCTGCAGCCCGTGTCCTCTCCCGCACCAGGCTCGTGACCCTATCACCCCCATCCTCGCCTGACTCCACTGGCTTCCCATCACACAGAGGATACAGTTCAAGATCCTGGACCTCACCTTCAAAGCCCTCCATGGTCTTACTCCCCCCTACCTCTGTGACCTCCTAACCCCCTACTATCCTGCCTGCTCCCTCTGCTCAGCGGGCTCTGGACTGCTTCACGTCCCCTGCCTCACCCACCCCACCATTGGTGGGTGGGCGATCAGCCACTCTACCCCTACCCTCTGGAACTCCATCCCGCAGTCCCTCCACTTCGCCCCCTCCCTCGCCTCCTTCAAGACCCATTTCAAGACCTTCCTCTTCGACCGTGCCTTCGATCACCGCGCCTCGGGTCCGAAACATTGACTGTCCAGCGCCTTGGGACGTTCTCCTGATGTGAAGGGCACTTTACAAATGTAATTTTGTTGTTGTTGTTGTTGTCCCAAGGCACTGACACACAGTAACACTTTGAGAGTAACACACAGCAACACTCTGAGAAACACTGTCAGCGTAATACTAACACTGAGAGTATTTTGGGGGGTCAGCCTGGTGTCTGACACACGCTTAAGAGTCTCCAAACAAACTGAGAATTCCATGCGTCTCACCTACACATGGAAATCCCAGAGAAAGATTGTTGGGATGGAATGTGCGCTGTCTCCCGAGAGGGACACATCCTGCTTACCTAATTCCGAAGAGTATTAGGCACAGCGTTTGAGCTCTCACAAGATGGATGCTCCCCTGTGAGCCACACGGCTCAGCATGAAATGTGTGAGAGCATTGGCACCATCTTCCTGCCCAGAGCTCGGGCACACGTCCCTTCCCATGGAACGATGGTTCCACCAGTTGCAGCCAATCAGGGTGGACTCAAAGCACTGGATGTACGAATCTGACAACAACATCCACAACAAATAACAATAATAATAATTTTGCATTTGATATAGCGCCTTATCACGTCTTCAATACGTCTCAAAGCGCTTCACAGGATACACTGTGAAGCGAATTGACTGTATATTTTGTGGGCGAAACGCGGCAGCCGATTGCACACAGCGGTGCCCCACGAACAGTCGTGGATTGAAGTGACCAGTTTATTTTTTGAAAGAATTGTTACCCCCCCGGAAAAGCAATCTGCCAATCGATCAACAAATGCTCCGTGTGGAGTAAGGAAACTTGCCCAACGTTTTGCCCAACTGGGAATCAAACCCAGGTCTCTCCCTTGCGAGGTGAGTGCTCTAACCACTGAGCTACAGGACTCCACAACAACATTTACACAGTACCTTTCACATCATGAGGATGTCCCAAAGCGCTGAACAGTCAGAGATTTGGACCTGAGCTGCAGGTTGAGATCAGGAGAGGTAGAAGGCAGGGAGGGTAGGGGTGGGAGTTCCAAAGGGTGTGGGCAGAGAGGCTAAAGGCCTGACTGCCGATGGTGGGGAGAGCAGACAGATTGATATGGCTTCAGCAGATCACAGCTGTAGGGATGGGCAAGACTTTGAAGGGCTTTGAAAGCGAGGAAGATGATTTTGATCTATCTGAGGGATGGGGAGCCAGAGGAGCCGGGCGAGGGTGGGGGTGATAGGGTCACAGAGCCTGGTGCGGGAGAGGACACGGGCTGCAGAGTTCGGAATATCTGCATCTTGTGGAGGGAAGAGTTGTGAATGCTGACCAGCAGGGAGTTGGCGTAGTCAAGCCTGGGCGTGATGAATGGATGAGCATCTCGGCAGCCTGAGGGGAGAGGCAATGGCGGAGCCAGGCGATGATGCAGAAGTGGGAGAAGGCAGAGAGAGAGGGTCGTGGCACGGATTTGGGGTTGGAAAAGACTACCCCAGAGATTACAGGTTACGCCTTTCAGCAGCTGTGGCCCCAAGCCTCAGAGTTTCCTCATCAGTTATCTGATGGACAGGAGTCTCCAGTGTGGTGGAGGACCTTTACAGGACAGCTTGTGACGTGTCAGCCACCAAGTCCAATTGGGTGAAGCTGGGTGGCAGGATCGAGGATGGGGGCTCTGTGGGAGGTAACACACTCTCAGAGTATAACTCTCAGAGTAACACCAAGAGAAGCACTTGGAGTAACATATTATAGTAAAGGCTCCTCCTTTAATGAGATTCTCTTTTCACATCAATAAGGTATAATCATGTGAGGCTTTTAGATTTTTTTTTGGGGTGGGGGGTGGCCGGCAACTGACACACACGGAAACCCATCACTGTGCTTAACAATCTCCAAACCAGACAGACAATTCCAAGGACATCTGTCACCTACACATGGAAATCTCCCCGTGTCTGGAATGCAATGCGCACTCTCTTTAGGAAGTCCAGATAGTGGTGGCAGTAACTGCCGGAGTCTAACCAGCTAAACCACATAGCTTGTCGTTGACAGCTTTCCCGCTGCTTGTCCAGCGAGGACCCCCCTCCCCGTTAGTTAGGGCTTTGGCTGTGGGGTTACCAGGAGCTGAGGGGGAGGATTCCCGGCCCCCAGTGACTGGTCGGCCCTTCCAGGTCCTGCTGATGAGCCGGGCCGGGCTGTGCTGCCATCAGCAGTGAGTGCCCCGGGACACTGCGGCCCCTCCTGGTCAGGACCCGGACTGGAGACCGGCACAGAGGGGGGGGCTGGATTCTGACATACTGTTGCTAAACATGTCACCTTGGAGCCAGTTCGGCTCCGAGGAGACCCCACTTACCCCCCTCCCCCGTCTCCCGAAGTACTGGGGTCGAGGGATCAGGGTTGGTGGGTGGGTGGGGGGTAGGCAGAGCCGGATTAAGAATGCTTAGTGGGGGGGGGCCTGAATCTGGACATGTCTCACACTTCTCACCGTTCCCCTGAGCACTGCCCGTCCCCCACCCCAAGAATAGTCCGGGCTTACCCACAAGTGAGGGAGCGTGTGTGAGGTATTGAAAGGGTTAAAGGCTGGGCAATCATTGGTTAAGTCTGATTCTTGCCATGGGGGTGGAAGGGGGCTGGGGGGGGGGGAGGGGGTCTTTATCTGTTCTCTGTCTACCCCCACCCCCCGCTGTGTCCTGGCTCAGCCTCCTCACACCTCAGCTCCTCTCACTGGCTTTGATGTGGCTGCGTCTCATTGTCTCCCCCCCCCACCCCACCCCCCCCGCCCCCCCCACCGCCCCCACTGCAGACAGGAAGTGATTGTGGTTTTATTGGTTTATATTGTTATACAGCCATTTCAGCCCAAACCCCCACCCACCCCCCCCACCCCCAGGGGACGGGAAGTGGGTGTTGGAATCAATGGACACAGTTCGTAAACGTCTGTTTGTTTGCCTGTCGTTGAATTCTTGCCCCCATCAAAACCCCTTCCCTTCCCTCCCCCCCAAAAAAAAACCCCTCCCCCCATTCAGATCTGACGTTAAACCGCACCTTAAGCTGTTTTATCTTTTACTGAACAGAGAACCCAGAGGGACACGGCCTGTGATTGATTGATGGGGGTTTATTCAGAACAAACTGCGGAGACACTACTGCAGCGGTGTGAGTGTATGACTGTGTGTGTGCGTGTGTGACGGTGTCTGTGTGTGTGTGAGTGTATGACGGTGTCTGTGTGTGTGTGTGTGACG